GTATTCCGCATGGCGCTGTATAATGTATTATTGCTGGGATTTGTAGTCCTCTATACAGCGCAATGCAGAATACCACCAGCAAAGAGGAATACAAATCCCAGCAATAATACATTATGCATACAGTGTATAATATATTGCTGGGATTTGTAGTCCTCTATAGCTGATGGTATAATATACAGCACAATGTACCGTCAGCTATAGAGGAATACAAATCCCTGCAATACATTATAGAGCACCATGTGTGGGAAAGTGCAGGCTTACCTGAGCAGTCTTCCAGCAACTTGATTCTGAGATCAGGCCTGTCTATCGGCGGCTGTCATCCTCCCCACACCTGCTCCTCCCTGCGCCGATCGTGGATGTGGGCGGGCGGTAAGCGTGAGGCGGGGAGGAGGTGCGAGGTGTGGATGCGGGTGGGCGGGTCTGGCAGCGGCGAGCATGAGGAGCGGAGGAGGTGCAGCGCACAACTTGTGTGGAGTCGTGAACAGGGCCAAATAATCAGAGGCCGATTAATCGATGATAAAAAAAAGTTGACAACTTTTTCAATAATCGATTATGTCGATTAGTTGTTGCAGCCCTAGGCACGTGTAAAGCCTTTGATCCAGTACTATGGCCGTATCTATTCAATATTTTACAGAAGTGGGGATTCGGTCCAAACTTTATCAGGTGGGTCATGGATTTGTATCGAGAAACGAAGGCGTTTATAAGGTATGCAGGGGTTAGATAGCGCTTGTTTAAAATTTTAGTGCTGATGTTCTGTCGAGAACACTGACCCAGTATCTGTGCTTACGTACAGACGGGATTACCGAGGAAACCGGCATTTATTTACAAAGTATTCACTTGTAATGGTTAATAATATGACGTCTATGGCAGTGAAGGATGGAATATTATTAACGGTCAAAATTAACAATTTAAACAAAATACTTAGTAAATAAATCCCCGTTTCCTCGATAATACTGGTCTGTGCGCAAGCGCAGATGCGGAGGTCGGCAAATTCGACTACATCGGCGTTCTCGACAGAACATAGTTGATGCTATTCTGCATTGCTGTATAATCATCATACATCAAATACAGAATACCAGCAGCTATACGGGACTACAAGTCCCAGCAATACATAATAAAAAGTCAGCTATGCAGAATGCCACCAGCAACCCACCCCCCCACTATAATGCATTGCTGTATAATCATCATACATCAATGCAGAATACCAGTAGCTATGCAGAACTACAAGTCCCAGCAATACATTATAATAAAAGTCAGGTATGCAGAAAACCAATACACCAGCACCCCCTCTCCCCCCCACCACACTATAATGCATTGCTGGGACTTGTAGTCCTACATAGTTGGAGCTATTCTGCATTGCTGTATAATCATCATACAGCAATGCAGAATGCCACCAGCTATGTGGGACTATAAGTCCGAGCAATACAAAATAGTCAGCACTACAGAATCCCACTACATCCCCCCCCCACCCCCACTTTCCCCGCGCCCCCCTTCCCACTCCCTACTCCAGACTTACCTTCCTTCTCCAGCAGGGCCCTCTTCCTAGTCTCCCTGGTCAGGGGGCGGAGCTAAGAGGGTCAGGTCCTCACACAGCAGAATGTGCTGCCCGGCGGTGCCTGCACCATATTCTGCTGGTGACAGCCTCTCCCATCCCTGCCGCACAGCTGCCCGTACATGCTGCGGCGGCTGTGCGGCAGGGAAAGAGCGGCACTCTCTTGGGGGGGGCCCACTTCTTCCTCGCTGGGCCCCCCCAAGTGGCGGAAAGCCAGGGCGCAGTCGCAATTTCGACCGCTGCAACCCTGGTAGTTCCGCCAGTGTCCCCCGCTATTATTTGCACTGGCAATTGAGCCTCTGGCCATGGCGATAGGGAAGGACCCAAATATAAAGGGCTTAGTCATAGGGGAATATGTACATAAAATATAATTGTTTGCCACTGAGACTATTGTGTGTAGGTAATCCCCTTATCGCGTTACCTAGTTTAGATACAAGTATTTCGAGTTTTGGGAAACTCTCAGGACTTCAAGTAAATGCATCTAAATCTAAAATTCTTCCCATAGTAGTAGCAAAAGGGGCCCCAATATATGCTCAGGGAGGAATTTCTATACACTTGGGAACGTCATAATATTATTAGTTATTTGGGGGTAAAAATGACTCCTAATTATGAAGGTCTATATCAGGCTAATATCCCATCTTTAATACAACTGGTTAAACAACTGCTGGAAACATGGAAGCGCTATGAAATATCCGAAAAGATTGTATATATTTAGAGTACTACCTATAAAAGATCCCGTTACATGTATTAAAAACCCTTTAACAACGATTGAATCAATTGTTATGTGCAGGACAGAAGGCAAGGGTCTCAATTAATGGTATATTCCGATCACAAGCTAGAGGGGGGTTGGGAGTTCCTCACCTGAGGAGGTATTGTTATGCGAGTCAGATATCCCCGCTTCTGTCATATTTTACCAAAGAAAATACTCCACAATGGGTAACAATCAAAGCAGAGGAAAATCAGCACAATTGCAATAGAAACTCTTCTATGGATCCCTACAATAAATCCAAACCAGATTATAAATCCCATTTAAAACATTAATTGGTAAGTTTTGCAAGAAGTAAAAGATACTCAGGCAGATTAATGTCTCCACACACACCTCTGGCAACAGTCCTAAATAAACCAGCATTTCTCCCAGGTTATGAAGAACCTGTAAGATTTTCTAGATAGGAAGGGGCCAGATTGAGAAAAATTTATGATTTTTTTGCCCCAATAGGGATCATTCCTTTCTCAGAAAGATGCCAAGCATAAACTCCCTCACTCAGAAGTATTTCAATATTTACAAAATTTGACAAAGGGATTTGATGTTCGGCCGTAAAAGTATGTGACAGCATGGGAGAATGATTTAAAAAGGCAACTACAAGAGATAATGGCGTCAGATTTGGGATACAGTAGCCCACTATTTAAAAACTCTCAAAGCGTAGAGGCGAACTACAAGCTAATGCTTAGATCAGTGATGGCGAACCTCTGTGTGCCACAGAGGGCAGCAGAGGCCACTCTGGTGGCACATGAGCCTAGGTGCTGGTTGCTGGGGCCCCCACACTCTGGGTTCTCACCTGGGGTGCTCTGTGCGGGCCTCTGGTGTCCCACGGGTCTCAGAGTCTCATTACGTTTTTAAAGATGACCACCACGGCCATCTTCAAGCCTGGAAGGTGCCCAAATCCTATTTAATATATTGCCGAAACCCGTGGTGGTCCAGTGGAGGATCAGAATTATCCGCTTCTCTTCCTGATGCAGATCATACTGAGCGCTCCCTCGTGGTGCCACCACTCACAGAGATGCAGGTCACACTGATCCTCCACTGGACCACCAGGATAATCCCCAAGTGCCCCACTGGATCCCAGGGATGCAGCCCCCTCCCTGCAAAACAGGAAAGCAGGAGAGGGGGCAATGTTTTAATTATTGTTAGTGGTGGTTGTTAGTGGTGTGTGTTTTATGAGTGTGTGTGCGCGTTTGATTACGGGTATGGATGTATGCGTTTGATTAAGTGTGCAATGTGTGTGTTTAAAGGAGAACTATGGGGTTAGGGTTTTTCCCCATAGTTCTCCTTACGGTAACGGGAGGACACAAACTAGCGTCCTCCCGTCACCTTAAGCTCAGTATACAACGAGCTACAGCTCGCGGCATACTGAGACGCCGCAGCTGAAGCGGATCCCGACAATTATGTCGGGATCCGCCCAGCTGCGTGAGTGACAGCTGGCTCTGCCTATCTATAGGCAGAGCATGCTGTACCCGCCCTGTCCGTTCCGCCAGTCAGCGCTGGAGGATCGGAGCGGGGAGGGGGGAATCATGCCCCTCCCCTGTCATGGCAGAGAGCCGTGACAGGATCGAGAGGTGAGCGAACGCCGGTACGTGCTCGCTCACTTCCCGATCTACTGAGCCGACCTGTGACAGTCTCATTGTCACAGGCCGGCTAGAACTATGAGGTGAGTGAAAAGCACTCACCTCATAGTTCTCCTTTAAGTACGTGTGTGATATGTGTGTGTGTGTGTGTGATATGTGTGTGAGATATGTGTGTGTGTGTGATTATATGTGTTTGTATCGATGAGTGTATAAATGTTTGAATATGTGTAAGGCATGATGCTTAACGTTTTTTAAACCCCAGTGCACAAACTGCAGCACAATCCCTAATCGCACCTAAACTTACAGGTGTGAATGGGGCCTTATTGTGTGTATATTTTTGGTTGTGCATATTTCTGTTCGTGTGCATTTCTGTGTGCAGTATGAAATTTGGCAAGCGTCCCCCATGGGAGGAAAACAAAAGTGTCCAGTGGCCCCCCAGTGAATTGAGTTTTATAACCCTGGTTTAAACGAACATTGTTGACGCCAAACTACAAGCACTGATTTTTTTTAATTTTCATATATCATACAATTGTCATTAACATCTGTGGATACATACGGAAATTCTTAACTACACACAATGCACAACCCGCCTAACTGCTGTCAACAAACAAGTTATGCCAATGCTCTCTTCCAACCGTTATATTAGCAAAGCGATAGTGACAGGACTGAAAAGCTGCAATGTTTCACTGAAAGGACACAGTTCTCATCTTTTATCTACGCAAACACACAGATACAAACATGGAAGTTTACCCTAATCGTGTGTTTGTTTCCTTTTGTTAGCATTGATATTTTTACTGCCCTGTCGTGTTTTTTTTCTTACACATTACATCATGCCGTACAACCATGATACGTCGTCTTTAACAACAGGCCCAAAAAGCCTCTGAACTCGGAATTACAGTACCACTAAACAGAGCAAAATGTATCCATCAGCTTCTAAAGATGGAGCCCCAGCTGCTAAAGGTGGACATGCTGAGCAGGCCGTACATACACAGAACCTTCTTCTGTCCGAGTACGACCACTCGCCACTACAATGAATGAGTTGATCACATCTATTCCTATCTTGCCAACCATAGACTGTTTCTTAAACCCTCCCGTGAGAGCTCACCAGATCTGTAGAACGCGTTAATGTCAGCCGATTCCTTGGCCGTCTCCTCCACTCCGTCCCGTGTGCCTTCGCTGCTGCCTGCAGCTATGGCATTACTGCCGACCGTCGTCACTGTAACACATGGGTTCACGCTACTAGGATTACTCATACTGAATTGTAGGTCAATAAATCGCTATAGGAAAAGGAAATTTTAGCCCTTCTCACGATTTCGTCAAATTCGCGATTTGTAGCCTTTTGTCCTCGTCACCAACCACGGGCTTGACAACGTACATCACCCATTTCAGCTACCAAACAGGTCTTATTCATAGAAACCAAATGCATCCAGGTAAAATGACTCCAGTATCATCAAATAAAAACTGTAGGCTACTTCCCCAAGAGTCGACGATATTCATGAAAAGGAAAACGCCGCATTTCTTGGGTTCGTTTCTATGTACAGCTGTCACAAGACAAAGCGTACTACCAAAAGAGACAGCATCGAGAACGCAAATAAATTATTCCATAAAGCAGCAGACACATTTTCAGGCGGCGGCTGCGGAGAATAAAGAAGGCGGAGATTGGGAGGCAAGCGCAATGCTGCTGTGCAAATCAACACCATAGTCTCGCGAGACAAATCCTCCAGAATCCATTTCCTCTCCGATCTTGGAAGATATATTTAGCTTCGTTAGTAGTTTACAGTAGTGATTTATTAGTCCACCCATCGCTGGATGCTGACTTGGTCTCTGCCAGTGCTTTCCATTACGCAGAAGTAATAAGTATCAGACACCTATTATGTTTTCTCTTTGCAAGTTGAGCCTAATATAGCCATGGATCCCAACTCTCTGAGATGGCAAAAGAGGAACATGGAATTAATATGCAAAACACTATTTTCATTCATATTAGTTTTCAAAATAGGAAATTAAATTAAAGGAGAACTATGAGGTGAGTGCTTTTCACTCACCTCATACCGTGTTTCCCCGAAAATAAGACACTACGGCACAATTGCGGCGTCCCAGTATACCGCGAACTGCAGCTCGCGGTATACTGAGCCTAGGGTGACAGGAGGAT